CCTGTACGTTGGGCACGAAGTATAGGAAACTTGCATGGATAAAAAGAAGGGCGCCGCCTACGTTGGGCACGACTTCCGCCTCATTTTTACAATGCGAGAACTCTATCTTGTATTTCTAGTATCTTTGCCCAGAGGCACAAGAAGAAACAGCAGGAAGAAGGCTCGGGTTGAAAGAGAGAGATGGGTAAGCTATGTCTTTAGTTTTGTTTGTATTCTTTCTGTGTAGAATAATTGAGAAAAATGTAATCAATTTTAATTATATGATTAATATTTCAAATATTTATAGAAGTGTTAACGCTTAAAGACGGAGTTAATTCCAATTTGATTTAAGGCATTCAAGTAAGGATTGGATGAAGGTGTGTATGTATGCGCTCATGTGTGTGTAGGCCGGACTGTTGCTGAATGTTCCTCCACTGTACAACACAAAGATCGCTCTTGGAAGTGATTTAATTTTCTTATTCAGATGTCTAAATGAAAGAAAGATTGAAGTAGCTTGTTCTTGCTGTGTTGACTTACTTTAAAATAATAGCATGTTATATATTTAATTACTTTCAGTCTTAATGTAGATTTAGTGGAGGGTTAGGACAGGATTCAGACACATTAAACAACAAAGAAAGATTGTTTATTTAGGATTTTCCGTCATTGTGTAAACATTGATGATGCTCATCTTGAGGAGAGGTCTAGGCCCTAGGCCTAGCTACCTTCTACAGTTTAGTTGTTTTTTTTAAAAGAATTTTGTGCTTTTCTTCATCTACATTAGGGCACATAAAAAAATTTATTAGATTATCACTCTTTTTTAAAAAAAAAATTGATGAGGGAGGACAGTTTTTTTTTTTTTTTTTTAAATCTGAACAATTAGAATTAGATACAAATAGATTATTTCGCTTTTGTTTTTATCGATGAGGGAGGGACTGTTTATATTTGGTCTGTAATAGTAAATATTGTATAAAAACTGGTTTAATTTTATAGTTTTTTAAAGAAAATGAATTTGAAGTCACAAAATTGCATTGTTATTTTTATGCTGTTGAAATAATTGATGCAGCATAAACATTTTTTTTTATTCCCGCATCAATATTTCCCGAATTTTTGACGAGGGTGGGAGTGATAATCTAATAAATTTTTCTATTTGCCCTTATTGTTGCTGTATGACAGAAGAATCACAATGCACCATTACTGCCGCATTTTTGCGTCACCATTGTATTGATCATTATTCCAAACATTACCAGCATTGTGAGGAGAAAATTTCATTTTTTTAGGCTCCTTCATATGGGTATTGCTCTTCATAATAGTAGAACCTGTAGCCTGATGTTACATTGATTTTGAATTCTGTGAATTCTAGTAGCCCATTATTTCGGACTATTTAAATTTTGGTGTGTATAGTGGAGACCGGCTGTGGAATGCTTTAGTTTTTAGATCTGGAATTGATATAGGCTTAACATAAAAGAAGTGTTTTCATGAAGTCCACATAGGCCAGTGACAAACTAGATTCTTCAACTAATGACATGATTTCCTGGGACCCAATTTTTGGTCGCGATCCATAATTTTTTGACCGTTGCTCTATAGTAGGCCTGCTCTATAATAGTTAGTGTTAAATATCGGTTAGTTGTTGGTGACTTTAATGAGTAGTATGACACAGTTCCTTTTAGTTCACTGCAAACTTTTATTAACACAAACTGTACATAGTTACAATCAGCTAAACTCCAGGTTTCAATCCGTATAAGAGACAGGAATTTGGAATGCCATAGGTTTAATTTAGTGTACTGGGAGAACGTTCCTAATATTGAGTCCAAATGGTGTGGTGGTTTTAAGTAAAAGTTCCCAGTGATTCTCTTTATCTTTGCGATTTTTGTCGC